CGCGAGATCTAACTCATTAGAATAATCCGTACTCCACTTATGGCCTCGTCATTTGACCGAGAGTCCCACCCGTTAAATTGCAATCATTTAACTCCATTATATGTTCCTTTTATTGTTTTGTCACGTCCATTGAACTGCATATCCCTTCATCTTTCCTTCGTAATCTTGTCATCCAAGCAATACTACTCTCCCGGTACACTAGCTCTTATTTCAATTTCAGCCAAAGACCAATCCAACTCGCAAAATGGATGTCCTTGTAGATGTTAACTCATGTAATAGAATGCCACATACAACGTTGATAATTGTGGGAAACAGAACGTTTGGGAGCTGAAGGACTTAGTTCATTCCTCAATGTGAGTGACCGTAGTTTTTGACTAGGTCTTCAGAGCCTCGTTGTACGGATGGAATAAGTGATTGAAGGCGGCATTATAATTTAATTCATAGAGTGCGCAGTGTTTACAGGAGCTTCGTTTAATCCTATATTTCGGGAAGTGAGGGATTACGTCCATCCACGGAATAGGTGATTGATAATTTCTTCCTCATCCAATCAACTGGGCTTGGCTGTAGTAACAGAGTGAAGGAAGATAAATATCTCAATGGCACACAGTTTACGATAATATGCTATTCGCTCAGCTGGTCAAATTCCCCCTCCCTTTTTTCAGTCCGACGTTGCATCGTTACCCCATCATTGGATATTGTCCTGAGCCAGTTGAATCCAGTCCACATTCTATTTATTTAATAACCATTTTAATATTGCCCCTAAACCTCTCCACGTGGTATACTTCCTTTAGTTGTTCCGACTAAAATTTTGTATGCATTTTGCGTCTCCCATGTGTGTGTTAACTGGCCGGCTCTTTTTTTAGACAGGCCCTACTCTTCAAAATGTACGCTTTGCAACATATCCTACCAAAGGTCATGTAACAGTAGAATTGATAAATCCGGCTCTTGTTATGGAGGTCACGTGACTTGTGGAGTATTATAGGGCGGGGGGATTGAGATGTCATATCTATGTTGTTCCAGCGCACTGCATTGTATTGTCTGTTACGTTGACCAATCTGATCAGCGAGGAACATAAAACATCATATGGAAATTGAGCTGTTCATATGTACACGTTCAGTCAAAACAGCTTGGACAGTTGACGTCTGGTGCCAGTGTTTGTAGTATGACGTGGTCTGTCCATCTCCGATGGAAGATGGGGAAAATTTGTCGGCAGACGCAAAATTTTTCGTGCAATACCTTGTGATAATGTAACATTTAAGGGACACTTAGGAGATACTTAGGGGTAAATGGAGACATTATTAAAATGTATCTTGTATAATGTGAAGCTTTCTGCGACGAATGTCGTCAATAAAATCTAAATCTTAGTCGTGTTAGATGATTAAAACTTGCCGTGAGGATGAGGATAGAGATGGTCCTCGAAACGTCGGCAAGAAGATTTTATTAAAATGTATCTTACAAAAGCGTTTTTGAGGAGGCTTTTTCGTTCAGGGTAAGGTACAGAGGATTAATAAAGAGTGTTGCTCCTGCTGTTGCATATATTTCTATATATTCTGTAATAAATGCAATGGTTTAACTAGTTTGAATGTTTAATTTATCCTTATTTTCAGCAGTTGCACCAATATATATATATTTCTCCATGTTACTCTCTTTGGAATTATTTACGTCAGATGCATATGTCATTACATCTTACGATATTGAGATATCTGTCCTTATTCTGAACTGCGTGTCATATTTGGTGCGGAATTTGCTTCTCTGTTGCGCATGATCGATGTACAGCCGAGGCTGCCACATCACCTTCCCATTCATAAGTTCTCCTCTGGACAGACAGAGTTCCTTTATTTAAAACCACATAATTTTGTATGCATTCGCATGCGCGTTACATGCCTATCCTATTGTCCTATTTTAATCACTCTGTTCATGGTAACGAAGAATATAAACCATGAAAGACAATGCCAAGTGATTTCTTCTGTCCTTCTGAGAGTTCAAGACCTTTCATTTCAAATATTCTTCTCAACCTTTTTGTTTCTATAACATTCGGTTTTTGTAACTAACTTCATGAAAAAGAATCTCTGAGTAGCTAATAGTTTCTCAGATAGCCAATAAATTTCCCGTCATTTATGGAACTTTAATGTTCATTACGTGCTCACAACAGCCAATTGCTGAATCTTACCTGAGACAGAATGAACCAGTCCACACACACACCCTCGTGCCCTTTTTGTTTAGTGTCAGTTTTAATAACATTATTTATTATATGAATGTCTATACATGTCGTCTTTCCCATTCCTTCTGCATGTCTGCCCCATGCCATTCTTCTTAACTTGATCATCTTAGCTGTATTTGGTGAAGAGCGCAAACTTTGAATCTCCATATTACACAGTTACATCCAGATTCACATTACTTCCGCCGTGGCTGACATTCTGTTCTCAAACTTACTCACTCTGTGTTCTACCCTGGCGGTGAGAGATGAGATTCAACGCCCAGGTTATATTCTTACTGAAAAAAGAAAATCTAGGCTTCGTAATATACCTTACACGGGAAACTCCTGATATACGTTCATAAATTGTGGTTTCAATTAACTAAATACAATATCCACATCGCTTTCAAATCTAAACCCGTTCATAATTACGCAAATTAGAAAGAAGTTTGTGATTGTTATAGAAATAACAAGAGCCTGAAATCACTGAACTAGCATTACATATAAATTAGTATCGTAGCGACACAATATTAAGGACAGTATTTTGCTCTACATAGGATTTCCTGCAGAAATGTTGATGTTGACTGTACATGCTTTTTTTTTTTACTCTGTATTCATGCTTCCCATCTGATCAGCTTGTGTGTAAAGGTTTTCGGTATTAGGTCCCTTGCAAATAAATTCTAATCCTCTTTAGACCTCTCGTACCTAATTTGCATTGTGAATGTAACGATCCACTTGATATTGACGCTTTGAACCACTAGGAGGTTATCTGTTGCTTGCTCAATCCGATCCGAATTATAGTTTCATTGTTCTGCTTAAACCTGCTAATTATATCTCCTTTGGACGAAGTCCAACAGTTTTTATCTTCATCTGTGTGAAGTAAAATGTATTTGGTTACTCATTTTGTAATGAAAATATGATAATGGTTATACTGTAACAGCTTGTCTTTACATTGTATTGTGCAACAGAAACATGTTCTGGTTAACTGATTGAAGATTAACTTAATATAGATTTGTCAGAGTCGGCCGTATGAAATTTCATGGCCCGTGCTCATAATGATTATTTTGTCGTGTTAACAAAACGTAAGGCACTATATTGATTTCGTGACCATATATTTCACAGCTGTATGAATTTATTGGACGAGATCTGACTGGACCTGTAGGCTTATGTTATTCTGATACATATAACTTAGAACGTGTTCATTAATCAATTATCTACTGAATAGACCTACAGTTGTGAGATTTAAGGTTCTCCGTAGGCCTACGTTGAGAACCTACAGTTGTGAGATTTAAGGTTCTCCGCAGGCCTACGTTGAGACAGATCAAAGTCACCTTCGTATATAGATACCGTTTCACTGTCCAACTTTACTTTAATTAAATACGTATTATATTGGCCACATTTTATGAAAACTCAAAACAACTGGTAAACTGATAAAACCGCTGTTAAATACCGATGAAAGCGAGGACCTGCTGGGTTTCCATACATTATAGAGACCTTTGCATGACAGAGCACGTCTGGGAGATGTTCTACCACTAATACATGAACATGGGCAGAAAAAACAATGGCTGCAGAACAAGCGAGTGTACACATTTACAAGAGGTGTTTCTATCCATCAGCTGAATCGAGAGGGTTCATGTTTCATGTGTGCATTGTTCCTGTCTTTCGAAAGCTCGCCTTTTTGTGTCGACTTATTTATCTTGCTGGCTGGAATAACAGGAGCATGCTTTCTAGTTAGCACCTCAAGGGCAGCTTCTGGCCTCCTGATACTACGGATGGAAGTCCATCTACAATTGCTAAGCCTTGACCGACAACTCTTTTCGTCTTGTCCTAAGAGCCTTCTTTCTCAGCTCAGCTGAAAGGAAAAAGTGATGTCAAGTCTGCCGCCGTGAAGCGAAGTGTGAATATTTTACAGGCACTCAGTTTTTTAACTAACTCTTTGGGAGTAGGGCAAAAACGACTAATGCCAAAACGTTCCAGCAGACACGATCCTCAGCCAGCGCTCTCCGTCTCCCGTCTTCATAATAGTCCCCTGCCACCTTCTTGAGCTCCCAAGGAGTTTCCCCACCAAAATTTTCCTACCGATATGTATTTCTTTTCCCCTCTCCGAGCTGTTACTTCATTCCACGTCCACTTCCTGAATGCCTCTGTCTTAACTATAGTAGACGCAGTATTCTGAATTTTTGGCATAATTATTTTATTTTAGGCCCAAGTATTTATTTCCCTGAGCACCTTGTTTTCAAAACTTGTAGGTAATTTTTATTCTTCCCTAACAGCAAGAGGCTGAGTTTTACAGCCACACAAAAACAATTACATATCTAATTTCGATCTGTAGTGTGTTGCAAAGGAAACGAATAACCGAATTGATTGTTCTTATTTTTTATTATGAATCTCATTTCTTTGTTAATGTTGTTCCCAGATAAATTTCGAAACGAGAAAAACATGTAGGCTACTCGTATAATTAATTACACTGTTGTTTCCTTTTCGACGGGTTTACACCCACGAAGTTAATGAAATTGTAGTTTATCGTCACATGAAGTCGTTGTTATTTCTAACTGCTCTACATCTCGCAGACATCTTTTGGAGGAGAGCCGGTCTCTTTATTTGCCGTGTCCACAGCACGCAGAACTTCGGAATACTAATCGCGACACCATGACATCGCTTCTTGGAATAAATGATCCAGAGAATGAGCACCAATGCACTAGGCAAAAATGGTGACACCATTATTTTCCCAGGGAAAATTATTTTCAGTTTAACTGGTTGTGACTCTTAACGTGTCGCTTACCTTGGTCTCTATTTTTTGTTTCAGGGACGAGAAACAGATAGATTTTGCCGAGCAAGTGGAGAGTGTTGCCTACGTGCTGTGTGGTGACGGCGCCATTACGCTTGAAAAGTTCTACCAGATTTTTCAGGCAAAAGGAGTAAGTTACAAATCTACGAAAATATTTGTTTGTTAGGTGAGACTTCAGGTTCTTACGGTGACTAGTATGAAGATGGCTGTCTTCTGGGGTGTTCGCCATGTTGTGTGCTACATATTGACCGACGTTTCAGAAGTGCTTACCGCCTCCATCATCAGGGCGATAACTCATCTGTAGAATATAATTAAAACTTAAAAACCTGAATGTCTTTTATATTCAAGGGAAGAAGTGAAAAGAGGTCCATAACTTGTCAGTATTCTGGATACAAACATATCCTTCTCCAGGACGAAAGTGTTTGTCGCCCTGAGAACCTCAGATGTTATAGGTTAATTATTTGTTCTCAGAAATTCGACATAATTTTAGTGACGAGAATTGTACGGCTTTAGATTTTTGAATCTGAACTATTCGCTTGTACAAATTGTCGAGACCATGAATTTTCTTCCGTTCGTCAGCATTATTAACGCTACAGATAAGATAAGTCAATCTGAATTATTTTTCTGAGGATACACGTGCTCACAGAGGTACATTCAGCTTCAGGAACGTAATCGCCAAGTAATTCAGCCTTCGGTGCTCTTCTACAGGTTGTCGTCATTTGTCTAGATCGAGTAACCCTATACTCCGTTTTGGATATCCTCCATCACTGCCAAGTTCCGGCGGTCCTCCATACAAATGATTTCCCACCACAGTGTAGGCGTTGTGACCATCACGAGCTTTGATTATCATGCGAGGGTGATATTCCGTTCTAATGGCCAGATGGCAAGTTACAAAAACAAAACACTACACCAGCTTCATGGAACATGGAGCCAAGGATAATTTCTTAGAGTTGTCTGTGATGAGAATATTTAGAGCTAAGAGGGATTTATTGAGCCGGGATAGCTCAGTCAGTATAGTGACTGGCTACGGGCTGGACGACCGGGGTTCAATCCCCGACGGGGGCAGAGGATTTTTCCTCTAGCCTCTGCGTCCAGACCGGCTCTGGGGCCCACCCAGCCTCCTCTACAATGGGTACCGGGGGTCCTTTCCCGGGGGTAAAGCCGGCCGGGGCGTGATGCTGACCACTCACCCCCATCTAGTGCTGAGGTCAAGGAAGAGAGGAGCTATACCTCCACTCACCCCAAACGCCTACATGGCGTATAGTGGGACAAACTTTACTTTACTTTACAAGAGGGATTTATTGACAGGAGACTGGATAAAATTCATGAGGATCTTGACAAATTCTACTCGTCTCCAAATATTATTAAGGTTGTTAAATAAGGATAATGGGATGGACAGAGAACTAGCTGTAGTGTGACGCGGAGAACCGTCAAAGTCTCATTACATAGCGGAGATATTAAAGCAAAATGTAAATTACAAAAGAACAAATGTTTTTAATGGCATACAACATGTTATCTTACAATAGAGACAACGTGTGGACGGCATCCAATACAGAATCGCATAAATTAGCCTAATTATTCATACACTGCAAGAAGATAATAATGAGATGTAGGCAACCTAGAAGTAGATGGAGAGACCAATGCCTGTCTTGTCGTCGTGGGAATAGACATAGCTCCATGTTCCCCACAGGTCAAGATATGTTGGTTGAATAATAATCACTTTGAACGTGTGAAAGGTTATAACTGTGGAATGCAGGTGTAAGATTGGGCTTTCGGCACGTTGAGGAGTTGGCTGGTTCGCTAACGTAGTTTTCAAAACAGTCTACATAACAAGTTACTCATCAAGAACCGAGCAATAAATAAAATCTCCCCCCCCCTTCTGCACTTTCTAGAATCGACTCAGCCAAATGCTCATTAATGCAAACCCCATAGGTAATTTTATTATGAAATATAATAAATCCGTGTACAAACTGAGAAGTCGTGATGTTGGGATAAAGAGAGGGAGGAATATTACATGGTACTAATTATTTAAAAGACATGACAAATTGCTCTTAATTAAGCACAAAGTGTTTATAAAATGTTGCGTTAATGAAAATAAGGTAGCGAAAAATTAGTCTGCAATTAAGCTTACGAATTAATTATAGAGTTTGAGTTCAAATTTATTTGGGCAAATAAAACAATCATACTCAGGGCTTCCTGTAACGTAGATGAAGTTAAGTATTGAATTTCTTTGGAATGAGAAAACTGAGCAAATGTAGTGTTTTGTAAATGCTCCCTACTAAATTTCGTACAAAATATGAACTGATTTTCATCTTTTTCCAGTGGTACATGTAAAGGACACATCAACATTTAATGTTTTCCACCACGTCATTGAGCTTTCTCTGGTTGCTGATGGAGGAAAAGTTCTTCATATGTGGAGAATAGCTGCAAATATATTGAACAAACAGCCGTGTGGTGCCGACAAGGAGTGGTCCTCCAGTTTGTGGGTTGGGCGAAAGGCTGACAACTCCCCATCGTTAAAAACCAGCAAGTTACGAAATATAATTCAGGGAAATCGGGCTTAAGGGTATGGATTGGATTTATCTAGCTTTTGACAGGGAATTTTTTGGTCAGCTGAGTGTACTATTAGCTTCTCCATGGAGTTCGTTATAACAAGATGTTAACTTTGGCTGTGTCATGTGTATAGTTATAGTCGCCCAGGAGCATAAAACTACGTCATTATTCTTTCGCGTCTTATTTTCAGACCTCATTGACAGAACTGGAAAAGTCCATGGTTCTTCATCCTGCATATTTGTTACCAGACGTTTAGTTTTGTTTAGCGTTGAATACGTTACCCAGATAAAGAGTTGAAGAACATGATTCTTTCAGGAAAGGAACAAGAATTGAACCAGTTGTGCATCCTTGCCTAAAATTATGCTGGAGCCCTGCACCATTTGCGTGACGGAGAGAACGTCTCCTTGTGAGCCAAGAGCCCGCGGCACAGGTGGCATTAACTGGTTTAGAGCTGCACGCACAAAACAGTAAACACTTGGAAGGCCTCAAATGCCACTTTCAATTAAAGCTTATTCATGCGTGGCTTCAATAGAAACCGCTGTCTGCCTGCTTATCGGTTAATTTTCTTGCTTCAAAGAATGTGAACAGGCCACGAAAAGCCAAAGTTTTACTGGAAAAACTAGGTGTTCCTTGAAAATCCAACCCTTTAAAAAAAATTACCTGTGCTTGTGATTGAAAAGGCGACAAGAGTTTAGCCGTTTTATTTTCAAATAATTTTGATGATATGTAACAAAGCAGCATCGGATTGCGTTCAGAGTTAAGAGACAAACAGATCTGGTGTCGCTTGGTTTGAATTAAATGGCAGAAGTTGCATTTCTTGGTTAGCTTTATGATGCTTTGTTACGTCACAACGAAAATGTCTTGTTTCAAAGCTGTTGAAGGTATCTCTGTGGCATGGAATGATAAATGGACAGTTACTTATTTTTGCCGTGAGAAGTGGCGGCGTATTGGTGCCAAAACGGTAGGATCTCTGACAGAATGTGTTACGAGGCATTGTTTTCTTTGTTGCTTGGTATAATTTAGGTTCCTTAATACAGGCCACTAATTCACGTGATTCTCATTGATTCATGTGGGCCGAATGAATTCTTTCTGCAAGAACAAGTGATTCATCACTGATTTTTTTTTGTTTTCTTGCAGCAGGTTCTTGTAAAATGCCGTAGGAACAACGGGAGATTTTATAAGTTTGACTCCAGTGAAATTGATTCAATGCAGCCACTTGGGCAGTACGACAATGAATATATTTTAGTTTTAGTATTTTATGCTGCAAAGGTAATAAAAACTCATCGTAAAAAGAATTCATAAATAAAACAGACCTATTTATCCTTTTAAAATCTACAACTTTTGTTTTAAACCTTTTTAGATTATATGTGTACCTCTATTAAGTAAATACACGAAAATATAGTCTCCGGCTATTCATTGTGGTGTGTTGCATAATTAGCTCAGCAACAGTAGATTTGTGTCTGCGGTAAATGAACATGAAAACTAATTAGGTGTGTAGAATCGCAAGACATTGCTTTTGAGCATGCCGGGCATATTAAACACCTTTACGCCACAGGTCTGATACTCACACAAGAGGATTAAATAATCACAAATAAGTACTATAATTAATTTTGCTGCGTGTTTATGACAATAAAATGTTGTTTCGTCCAGGTCTACCAAACAGCAATGCTTGAGCAAGTTGTTTACGAACCGGTCTGTAAATCAGACAGCCGAATGTTTGACGTTCGTGGAGAGAATATCCACTTCCTTTCTCGAGAAGTTTCTTCTAGTGTGTTGTATTTTGTTTAACAAACTTTACAAAACACGCATTTCTCTTATCTCTCAGAATTGTTTAACCAAGAAAAACCTTTGTCTTCGCACAATGCGAGCCATCGGTAAATTCTAACCTTACCATAAAGATTAGTATTTATCTCTTTTCGTCACTTTCGTACAGGTCACACTATGTGGACCAGGTTATAGGCTATAGATTATAGACTATGGCGTCCTTTAATCGTTATTGTTCTGGATAGTGGACGAGTGGGCCTTTGCAAAACCGCCAATGACAATAAAATAAAATTCGAGGTTTTATGATCTCACGGCGGCGAATATGAAATTTTCGTATGATATTTTGCGCCGTTTAGTCTGGTAAAAGTTTACCGACGTTTCAAAAGTGCTTACTGCCTCCATTATCAGAGCAGTAAACGCCTATCAAGATGAACCTTTGCCAAAATCGTCGGTTCTCGTCCTGAATTTGTCGCAGGGATCAGAATCAAATTGTGTGAGTTCCCGTTCAACTGATTCTCATCTATGGCTGTATGTGTGTTTCAGATCGTTGATAAATTATTTCGATTGGTGGATCAAGACTTGGATGGAATGGTTTCCCCTGATCAAGCCATGGAGTTCCTAGCTAACCTCAGCAATGCTCGGTACGTAATTAACTAGAGGGTAAGTACATCATCATGCCTGCAGATGTCACCATCTCCCGTAGCATTCTCGTCATGGCTGTAGATGTCACCACCTTCCGTAGCATAATCTTAAGGCACGAAACAAGTAGACTTCACACGCTATTGCACGCATGTGTATAGTGTTCTGTTCTTCGTGTCTTTATTTTTTTTTTACATATTTTCATGTCAATCATTTCTCTCCTTTTTCCTTTTCTTAATCCAAATGTCTGTCCGTCGAAGGGAAAGTGGGTAGTTTCGGCATATCCCTAGAAATGTTTTTGAATCTCACATAAATGGCCAGTAAACTATAAGAACAATAATTCACTGTCTTTTAAAATTAACGTATTGGTAGAATGGCCCATGTAACGCGGTAAGATTTTGTTCCACATTCTTAGCATTATCCATAAATCAGTGCATTAGTTCACATTTCATTTCTGGTTACATTCGAATAAAGACTTGTTTGTGTGTCCACAGACCGCGTAGCGGGATCGACAAGAGCAATCTGGAATGGCTGGAGCAGCTGTTCCGGCAGACGGTCGGCAACGAACGGGAGATAAGACGCGACGACTTTAAGAAGATCGTCATCTCCAAGAACGTAAGTGGCCAGTCTCCACTGAAACAAACCCTCAGTTCCCGCTCAGAGTTTCATACTTTCACCTTCACGTATATGGTATGTACTGCAGGGTCCTTTCACAAGGGATGAAGTCTGCTTGAAATTGACCCTTTGCCTCATCCTATGCCCTTGTACACGATGTGCGGCCGCTTTACGAGTACATGGAGGGACATAGTTAATTTTACCTTTATCATTTAACAGTATTATAAACGATTCACGTGTTGTTCCATTAGCAAGTTTGATTCTGCTCCTTTCCAGCCATTCTTCACGGAACGGGTGTTTCAGATCTTTGATAAGGACAATTCAGGATCCATTTCTCTTCAGGAATTCATTGATTCGATGCACCAGTTTGCTGGACAGTCACCAGATGATAAGATCCGATTTCTGTTTAAGGTGTATGATTTGGATGGTACGTTGTACGGCATTTTACCTTTTGTTTTGTGTGATTGTTTATTTTAGTTGTAGTGGCGTGTCGCATTTGAACCACCCTCATACAATACAAGGCCACATAACCTAAGTTTTTATGCAGTGTCATTAGCTTTATGACTCGGTGCAGTGCGTCTGCACTGTCTGTAACGTCTGCATCAAACGAACATGAAGGCCATCCTTTTTAGTAACGTAGCGTAAGGAAAGCAAACTGTGTGACAGGTGCAAGTTTGTGTTGAAACTGGTTATCGATATGACTTTGCATCATCTTCTGGTTCAGGGGATGGTCTTATCCAGCATCGAGAACTGCAGCACGTGATGCGTGCGTGCATGGAAGAGAATGGTATGAAATTTAGTGAAGAACAAATCGATGATCTCACAATGGCACTGTTTGAAGATGCTGATGCAGACAATAGAGGTACCATTACATACGAGGCTCTCAAAAACCAGCTTGAGAAACATGGAGGTTTATTAGAAAACTTATCTATCAGGTGAGAAATCATATTAAAATTATGCGGCGACGTTGTTCGAGAGGTAGACGTCGGCCGTTCGTTATACAGACCTGAATTCAATCCCACGGAAATAGCTAAGTGATATACTCCTAGAATAACTGAATAATCTTAAAAATGCTAGAAAGCGGTGTTTCAGTCGCCGAAATATACCTGAATAGTGAATTAGTTATCATTGGTTAGTTCTCTGACCTGCCACTTTGCCAACAATAACGCTTGGTATTTGGTATTAGAAACAATGGATGAATCCATAAACAGACAAAAACTGAGCCCTTTTTTGTATTCTTGGATGGCAGCCAGGATTTCCAAAAATATAGGAGTGTTTTTATCAGTATCAGAATTGACTAGACATTTTTAAGCTTTAAAATATCTATTTTTTATTCTTATTTTCGATCTCTTTAAATGTTTCTTAATAATCTTCTATGTTATAATACAGATAACGCTATTCGTGGAATTAACAGAGCGTTATAGAAACGCTGAGGCCTGCTTTTCATTGCGGTGAAACATTTTCCGAGAGAGATTTATCAATATATACTCATTCATGATATGAATTCAGGCATGAAGCTCCATGAAATTTAATTAAAAGTCTTCCTGTGAAACTGATATCATATGATATGTAATTTATTTTCAAGCAACCAAGGAATATGATAATCAGGTAAGCAGACTTTAAAGTGGTCTAGACAGCAGTCATTCTTAATCTGTAGCTATGAACAGCTGATGTCGAATATATTACATTTTTATATGAAGTTTAACTACTATAAACTATAATGAGATCTTTTCTGTTACAGTATAGACAGGTGGCTGGTGCCACCCAAACCAAAGCCACCACCACGCTCCCTCCTTGGAAAACTCTCGGCACTGTGCCCATACCAGTTGTCAAGACCATACATGAAGAACAATTATGTGTATCTCATCTTTCTGGCATTCTTTGTGCTCGTCAATATTGGTCTCTTTGTGTCACGGTCTATTGAGTATCGTGAATCTAATGGATTTGTCATCGTTGCCAGAGCTTGTGGTAAGTTGCGATGGAAGAGTGCGACTTACTCCTATTAAGCCTTTGGTTAGCCAAAGCACTCTACTGTCAGGCTTGTGTCCTTTTATTACAGGACAGTGCTTGAACTTCAATTGCATGTTCATACTGGTACTGATGTTGCGCCAGTGCATCACATTCCTGCGAACACATGGATTTAGCATGATTCTGCCCCTTGACCAGCACATCTACTTCCACAAATTAACAGGAGTTGTCATCTTCGTACAAAGTATTGTCCACACCGTAATGCACCTCCTCAACTTCAGTGAGTATCACTGGATGTTTGTGAAGTCTTTTGAGATATTAATTTAATATGAACTTTCATCTCTGTGGAACTCCATCTAATTCTTCCATAGTATTCTATGTGAATGCGAGTTTAAAACAAAGATTATGTGTCACCTGGTGGTACCTATGCTGTCTTAAAACAAGAACTGTTCCAGCAACCCAATTAGGTGTTTCTAACTCTGCACTAAAAGAAATATAATGTAATATTCTTAACAGTTATATCTTACTAAGAATAATATAATTATCCTAATAACTGGCTTTTAAATTTAGTTAAGTGTGAATTAATTGATAATGTATTTTAAGTTAATTCACCTGCAGAAATTGTTTCTGTATTAGAAAGTAACTCATTCTTAGGAAACTAAAGTTGAAAATAACCTAACCTAACCTAACCTAAACTGTGCCTTTTGTTCAATGTCAGATTTAATTGTTGCATAAAAATGATTGAATTGAAAAAGCCTTATGGTGCTGTTCAATGTCAGATTTAATTGTTGCATCTCATGGTGTAGGGACTGACATATGTAGGAGTGGCTTTATTGAATGCATCTTGTTTTTTGATGGAGGTAATTGCACTTTTACTTAAATATTTGTTTGTTTGAATTCATGAATTAGTCACACAAATTTAGTAATTATTTTGTCACTTTTGTTGTTTGATTTTAGGTGTGGTTGTGGTTAATCACCCAGTCGTTAATAAAGACAACTACACTGTGACTGAATGGCTCTTGACAAGCAAGCCTGGTTTATTTGGCTTAGTTGGAGGTGTTGCTAACCCAACTGGAATATCACTGATCATCATCCTTGTTGTTATGTTTATTTGTTCACAGTCATTTGTCCGGCGTGGTGGATCTTTTGAGGTATATGTTTGTTGAAGTGTACATGATACAAATTTGTTTCTTATTTATGTAGAATTTTACTTGAGTTTATTCATACTTATGAATCTGTTGTAAGTTTTCTGGAAAAATAATTACAATTCATGTGAAGACTAAATTTTCAAGAATTTTCTGCAAAAGCATTTGTTTTTCACATGTGCTTCTGCCTTGCACCTATTTACAACACTTTCTAACCCTTATGTAATTGCAGTTTCAACTGCTAAATTCCTGAGCTTATACTAGTGAAATTTTCAAAAAAAGTTATTGCATTCAAATCAGTGGCAATGATTTTTCAGGCAGGGAGACTTTGACGTATGCTATGTATGCTACAAATTTTGCAATGAAATTTGAAATGTAAAAGGTTAAGTAAAGAGATGGATGTTTATAGTTATTATACGAAAACACATGTGATGTACCAAAATATTTGTTAAGATGACAACATATCGTGTATAAAGTGCCTAACTGTCATCCTAAATGATAGTTGGCATTGAATGTTGCTTATTTACACTGACACTCATTTTTGTACCATATATTGCATATTGTTAACAAATGTTCTCTCCTAACCTAAAATGTCTTAGTTATTCACTGATTTATTTAAAATGGTGCTACAAAAAGAAATAGTTATAGATATATGATGCAAATACAGTGCTCTTTTTCAATATCAGAAGATGAATAACTATTAAATTAATTAAATTTACAGCACTTCTGCTGTTATTAACAGAACAGTTCTACTGCACAAAACATTACTTTCTGTGTCGTATTTTGTATTTCATTATGTTTTGTTTTTTTGCAGGTATTCTATTGGAGTCATCTACTATACATTCCTTTTTGGGTATTGGTCATCTTCCATGGCCCTAACTTTTGGAAGTGGTTCATTGCTCCAGGTATCCTATATTTGTTTGAGCGCGCTCTTCGCTTTGCCTCGATGAGCTCAGAGCATGGTAAAACATATATAAGCTCTGGATTGCTGCTTCCTTCACGAGTGACACACCTGGTCATTAAGCGCCCTCACCACTTTGATTTCCACCCTGGCGACTATATTTTTGTCAATGTTCCTGCTATTGCTAAGTACGAGTGGCATCCTTTCACCATCAGCAGTGCACCTGAGCAGGAAGGTGAGTTATAGGCAAGGGTAACTTTAAAAACCTAAATCAACAAAGCTTAATGCACTAATATATGCATTATATTGTTTCAAGAGCACAGTTTGATGTCATGCTAAAAATTGGACATTTGGAATTTCGAATATATTTTGCTATTCATTCATTTGTTTTTTAATTGATGTATAGATTTAAAATTTACTGAGGTCTATTTTTAATATGCAGCCTAAAAATTTTGATTCGGGATAGTTTGAAAATGGGTAATGCAGATGAAGATAAATGCTAAAAGAAATCTTGAAGTGAGAATATAAAAATATAATAAGTGTTAATAGGAACGATATGTAACCAAAGTACAGCAAATCATTACTGTGCATAATATGTTAAGCTACATTTAGAATTCTGAAGTTAACGTAAATTGGCTAAGTTTATCTTTACCATTGCTTGACAAAAGGAAGGTTTTTGTTGTTGGTGTTGATGATGTTGACAATGATGAAGAACAAAATAATCATATTCAACAACTACAACAACAACAATACTTGTGGCCTGTCACAGTCTCATGCCAATGTAATTCTAAGTAAATAATGAATTAATCAATAAATCAATCTTGTTATATTGACTGCACCATTTAGTCCTTTTTCTGTTATTATTTTTGTAGTCTGATATGAATGCAAAATGTTCCTCCTGTTTCTTTAGATTACATGTGGCTTCATATCCGAGGCGTTGGGGAGTGGACAAACCGCATGTACAACTACTTTGAGCGTGAACAGGAGAAACTGCATAATGCTGAAGAACAAGTTGCTGGGAACAGACAAATAGTCTTCAATGGGACCCCAGAACCTAAAGGCATCAAAAGACTGCAGGTGTAAGCCAAATGATGAGAAATTTATTGCATAGTTTCACCTACAGTATTTTATAGTTTACAAGGTTCTCATTATCTCCATCAGAGAAATAAAATGGGAAGTTCAAGTGCCTGAATAACATGTTTTCATTTTCCTTGCTTAATTACCTTCTTCAATATCAACTTCAACTTAGATATAATGGCTTCTTTATTTGAATATTGCCGTTTGCCTTCACAATGAATTGATCCTACATTGATGACTCCTGAATTATTTATTTCTACTTAAATAATATTTAGAGATATGAAACTATGTTATAAATCTAAGAATCTCAATGAAGTAGAGATATCAGCATTGGTCTTCTGTGTGGAGTTACAGGTAGATACCAAATTGTGGAGGAACATCTTCAGCCCCAAAGATGGAGGTAGTATATTCCTCTGAGACTTTCTATCTTGTATCTACCTACAAGTCCACTTGACGTTATAAATGAGAAGTCCAACACTGATGTTTTTATCACTATGAGAACATTGTACCTTATATCACCGTTTCATGACTTTTCGGATTATAATCCAAGTTAAAATACTTCAGACGTATCAAACTCTTTTAACACTTTGCACACTAAAAATTAGTTGCATCACTTTGGCATGGTCATTCTTCCATTCATATATCTGTTTGTGAAATTATCTGTGAAAGGAAATTTGTTCTGTCTCTACTTACTACTTTGCAGCATCTTGCAAATTCAAATTACAACTTACCATGAATATATAAGACAAAAGAAAGTGAAGATTTCTGTCTTCTTGGTTGTTGCGCTGTGTAGTCTGGTCGATGTTTACCAACGTTTCATCGCCCTGATGATGGAGGCAGTATGACCTCTGAAACGTTGATTAACATCGACCAGACTACACAGCGCAACAACCCAGAAGACAGAAATCTTCATACTCACCGCTGTGAAAACCTCAAATCTTACACAAAAGAAAGTCTCTCTTTGGAAAATTGGCATATAATGGGTTAACCTTCAAGAGGAATGCAGCACATGATTCTTATTTGCAGCTCAATCCAGAGGAAGTTCACAGATCGTGACAGCTCCACTAGTGGCAGAAGTAAAGTTGTGGACTTAATGAAAGAGGGCAATTCCCCTCGAACTGGCTACCTCAATGAGAGTTCATCTAGTGACAGTGACTTCAATCTCAACTCATCAATGCCACATCACTCTGACACTGACATCGCTGGGCGACACACAGGGAGCAACGGTAAGTTCATCTGATGTGGACTTGTGACTGTCCCTTAACCTTTTGACTTTCTAGACGGTAAATTGCCAGCCTTGATTCTCTCTTCTAATGCGGTAAACTGATGAAAGATGTTTCTGTCAGTCGCATTTTGTTATAAATAAGAAAGAAATGTAAATTGTCTGAAAGTGAAACAGATCATGTCATTACCACCACTGCTCTGACCCTGACAAATGTGGGTTTTGATGTCCAACCCATAGCAATGTTATTATCGCATCTATTCCGAATGATATTTAGTAAAACAATTACGTTCAGTTTTTAGTTTTAAATTTTTACATTTTGGCTTTATTTCTTTATTTATATTGACAGTTATAAATGTGCATTGGAAATGAATCTACATTAAGCCCAGGAACCAATTTACTCTCATGTTGAGTTTTCTGCGGCAAGTATCTCAGGAGAATTTATCACTTTTCACTTTTAATTATCTATAATATTGTGTTTATTTGTAATCTTACTGAATATGTTAATTTTTCAACTGTGGAAGTTGCTCCGAAAAAAGAAGGGAAGGAATATGATTCATGTCATTTCTGAAATTAATTCCAGACTGCACAAGTCTGACTGGTCCACCCAGAAAACTGACTCCAGAAAAGAAGTTGCATATGCTCCTGATGACCAGGAAGTCTCCATTGTCAAAGTCACTCTCCATGCCTGATATACAGACACGTGTGAAGAAAAGGGAGCGACTAATGGCGTAAGATCTCTGTTCTGAAGTCTACTACATTTCAGTCTTTGGAAAAATGAATTTCATTAGTATATCCTTACCGATTTAGTATATTCAGTGAGAGCCCTATCACATAAATTTTGTTCATCTGTTTATCCACATATTTTATCTCCAAATTATTAAAAAAGAATTGAGAACATTTGGTATTGTTAACAAGTTTACTCTGAAAATTGTTAGATGCATATAATTGTAGTTGATTCTGGTAAACAATAAGAACATAAAATTCTAATTAAATTTTAGCAAGTGCCTCAATTACTACTAATCACAAAAACATTAATGATTTACATAAAATACAAATGTAATTATGACCGAAGCATTTATTTAAAACTTATTGTGACCTAGTGTATATTAAATACAAGAAAAATTATTTATATTTTTATCCAGTGTAATATCTTTAACCATGACAGGAAAAGATATATATTTACAGTAAATAATATGTGAGATCATTCCGCGCCGTAGCCGCACGGTCTGAGGCATCATGCTTCTTACCAGCGATACAGAATGTGCGCTAGTTCGGGTCTCGGGGGAGAAGAAATTTTCTCATGAGCTTTCGACTGTGTATGGGACTGGTGCCAACCCAGCATCGTGAGGAAATTGGGGAGCTACAATGAGTAGCGTAATCCGGTCAGGAAAACTAACAATGGCTGGGGGTTCATCGTGCTGACCACATGTCACCCTATATCTGGTTGGATGATCGTTCACCTCTGCTTAGGCATGTGAACGTGAGGCCAGCAGTCAAGCTAGTCGGCTTTGGCTCTCTGGAGCTGTTATGCCACGGATTTAATTTTAAAATAATTTAACTCAGAGTGTCAACTATGTTAAAAGAAGTAACTTATATTTGTCTTTCAGGCTTCGTGAATACATGCGCTCGGAGTCAGAGAAGAGTTTTGATGAGTGTCAGATTCGCCGGGCTCGATTACAGTCGCTAGGTCTAGCATACCTGAGTCCACAGAACAAGTCATTAGCACAGAGTTTTCGGTATATGCGGAACAAACCTACAATCATCGCATTTAAGACACCAAGTCTTGAACACTGTGAGGCTACAGCAGCCCTCCTTCCCAGTGGTAGTTCTCAGAACACCGAGGGAGCAGCCGAAGAAGGTAGATCACCGGCAGTAACAAAGTTAGGCACTCACAGTGAAGATATTGGCCTGGAGGCTGTGTCTGTGAGGCCTCCCTTTACGCCAATGAACTTTCCAGTTGGAAAACCTCTGGAAGTGAGTATAACCTTCTGTTTACGTTCCTTGTATTCTGCACCTAACACTGTATTGCATGATTCAACATACTAGCGATTGAAATGTAAAACAATTACTGTTTGAATAATGATATATAATCTTGGTTAAAGAACTAGAAAGGAAAAGATCAATTTGGAGACTGACGAATAAATTAAGTGACATTATTAAAATGGATGTTACAAAAAGAGGGTATGAAGATCTGAACTTGATTCAGCTGTTCATGGTATGGTTGAACAGTGGGCTATTTTAGACATTCCTTTCATAAAAGCAGAAAATTTATTTATCAACTTTCTTAAGAACAGGCTCTAGTAATAAGTGTAAACAGTTCGTTAGAATGAATACCAATAAATTATTTTATGATTTCATCGATCATGCACTTTGTTTCGTTTTGAACAAGATTGGGGACTGTTTGAAGATTATATATATATTATAACCTGCGTAAATGTTGAAGTACAACCAGCTGGCATGGAATCGCATATGATGTGAAATTAAGAAATGGTAGCCAAAATTAAAGAAAAGTATGAGTTCATAACAAACAATTTCTCTGTCCTGACTTCATTATCAAAATAAGAAATATATAAAATTAATATTATATTGACTCCTTCCATTCCCTGTCGTGAAATGTGTTATATCTTTCAAAACTTTATAGATCTTGATAATGTAACGTTTGTAATTGACTAATTTGTTCATAGCAAGGTCAGGGTTAAATATTTACCTCCTGTTTTACCTATTTGAAGTTTTGATATTACAAACATGAATACATAATTTATCCACAGAATTATAAAAGAGTTGGTGAAAGACTGACCCTGTTATATGCTGTACTTTTTACCTGCAAATTAGTGTACGTATTGTAAGACTGTACAGTTTATGTAATGGAGATAATGTGTTCTGTTCAGCCAATCAATGAAGAATGTCTTACTGAATCCACAGCAGAAGGTTTAGGTTTGGAGGTGAGTGAGTGAATGATTTTGTGATATCAGCTGTCGTTTCTGTTTGCTTTGCTGATCTTACCTGTGCACACTTCAGTCCTATTCTGCATGTATCATAATACAGGTTACATATTGTCAGTGCAGTGCACGTTAGATGAAACATGCTCCTATGTGCCATAATTGTACCGATAAATTTGTGTTTCGCCATACATATCTGCAAACGGATGAAGATCCAACCAATTCTGCTGCCTGTAATTTAAAAAATGTTCTCTTATTGAAAGAATGTTGGGATTCTGTTTATATATTTAAAAGAAAATAACTCAGTTTGAAGAAATGAACAGAGGTGATAATCTTATGTATTAAGAAACCATCTGTTGCAAATTTTGGCAGTAATAAAAACATCAAACACCCAATTTTTTTAAAGACACTTTTATAACGATATTTCCCAGTAATTTACCTTGGTGACCTAAGTAGTGGTAGCTAGAAGTTCAATTCTTGGTCCAAATTAAAGAAAGAAATAAAATTTTGCTTCCTAAAGTGTTGCCAAATTTTAAATAACATATCTGCGGCTGTTGTTAGTTACAGGAGTGAGACCTGAGAATAAAAGTCTTATATCAAAGAAACTACGCATCTTCACACATTTTAAAATATCAGTAAATTAAACATTTGCCACCAAAAGTAGATTATGACAGTACTAAATGCCTGGTTTGTGTAGCATGTCCGAATATGTATTTCATTTTCAGGAATATCTTTCTGACTTTTAATGTTCTGTTTGCTTGTGTAATTGTATGTCTTCTTTTAAGGTTGGTTGTTCATTATATAATGTGTACTCACATGTTCATATAATGGAATGCAACATGACACTTCTGCACATTATAGCCTTAGCCTGGCACTGTCCTCTTTCATCAGGAGAACACTCATGTTACAGTATCTCTAGCAACTTAACTGTGCTATTTAACAGAACTTTCAAATCATGTTTTTTTAATAAATTTTCTCTGTTCCATGTACCAGTATCTTCCTGCTTTATATTCTGTTATGTTCACAAATGTTCCTTCCGGATATTATTTTCTTTATTTGTTATATATTGCATGAAATTAATATATTTGGTAAGAAACATTACTATCAGACATGATTTTGTTATAAGATAACTTTAATCTGTAAGTTGTGGAAACCTGAACTTCGTCTCCCTTGTGTGATATTGACACGGATCTTAGAGGGGCTTTTGTAAGCACCGTGTTAATTTTTGGCTAATTATCTAAGTCCCTTATTATTGGCCCAAAAAATATCAAGTTATGTGAGCGATAAACCCATATCAAATACTGATACACATATATCCATGCATGTATTAATACATTTTGCCTGCCCCTACTTCCAGCTTCCAAAATGACAACTCAGAAGAAAATACAACTTGCTGGTGTAAGTCCCTTGTTAGAAACTTGGTAGCACATACCTGTATTGACATTGAGACTCCATACTGAATTATTAATTAATGGTTATGTTTTGTTTTGAGCAGTGTTGCTGTTTGTGATGGAAGAACCAGCACTGAATTTATTTCATGTATTTTCTCTTTAAATTCAAGGTGTGCAGGACTTAGATAAGAATTACTTTGAGGGTTCAGGATTAACATAGTTTAATCCAAGTGGGAAGTAGCCTGATAAGCTTGATACATATTTATTTTCTAACAGAATATTTGTAGAATTCTAATTTATTAAACCATGCAATGATTGACAAAAGCAAGTTCATATACTTTATTGTGGTGCATCGATAAGAGATGTTTCATTTTCTTGTTTATAGTTTCCTTGCGCTAGATTAGTTATTCTTGTAGTTTTCTGCTCTGGTATTAAATAATTTCATCATAAAATTTATCCAGATTTTTATTTTTGTCTTTGTCTTTGACAGCGTTTTAAAATTAGACCATGTCTTGGTCAATGTAGAAAAGCAATAAAAGAAAAGAAGATGGCCTTACATCTCAAAAGACTACATTCATACAAGGCTTATTCAGTGAGTCATAAAATGTTTAAACATTCACATTACATTTACAGATCTACCTAGATGGCCCATATGGCGCTCCTTCAAGCCACATATTCCGTGCTCAACATGCTGTGCTGATAGCAACAGGCATTGGTGTTACTCCATTTGCCTCCATTTTGCAGTCCATCATGCACCGGTACTGGAAAGCCCGTCACTGTTGTCCCAAGTGCAAGTTTGCGTGGGCGAGTGATATCCCTGCCACAGTCATGAACTTGCGCAAGGTGAACGTAGTGTTATATAATGCTAAAGACGAAATCACTGCACATTAATATGAATGACTCGGCTTTATGAGCAAATGTAAACATCTTCAAACAGAATAGTTCATGTTCTCTTAAGACACTAGATTCTCATTCTTAATAGTACAAGATTCATTTCATGGTCAGTTAAGTTGCAGATTTTTCAGTGCACAGATTAAGCCTTCACTTAACTTTATAGAGCAGTGCCCTTTTTAAGAAGCTAATAGTTGCTCATTTAGTCACGAAATCTCCTGTCTTTTATGTAATCAAGACATTCGTTACTATGTTCATAAGAGCCGATCATTGAACCTCATCCTGACTAAGATCCATAGAATCGCACTCTGTTTCTTTAAGATCAATGTTATCGTTGTGGTACAATTTAGTAAATCCTCAGATCTTGTAACCTGCAGGCAACAATTTATAGTGAGCGTTATCCACTTCTCATCATATTAGTTCAGATCAGTTAATAATGCTTTCATTCATTCACGTACTTAAAATGCCCTTCATAATCTACATTTTAGTACCCTAAATGTGGCAGGGAGAATTTAATTTTGTTTATTTTAAATGTTCTGTGTCCAGGTGGACTTCTTCTGGATCAATCGAGACCAGCGTTCGTTTGAGTGGTTTGTAAATCTGCTGTCGCAACTCGAGATTGAGCAGGCAGAACTTGGTGGGGCAATGGAGAGATTCCTGGAGATGCACATGTACATCACCAGTGCTCTGCAGAAGACGGACATGAAGGCTGTGGGACTGCAGCTTGCACTGGACCTTCTGCATGAGAAGGTGAGTTGTTCTGCGCATTCAAAAACAAATATACCTTTTAAAAATCGATGTATTAAAAAAATGTATAATTTTTAGAATATTTTGTGGAGTATTTTTGTGTTCTATAGAAGTAGGAACCAGTATTACATATTTCATTCCACCATTAAAAACTCCGTTTATAACTAGCATGCCTATGCAAAGCGTTTCTCAGCAACCACAAGGTGTGATTTCATTAACTTTGTTCTCTGCACTGTATATTTTAATAAGATAATAATTTTTAACTATTTTGGACTCCAATAGTTCCAGATCACCTCAGAAGTTTTAAATAATTTTTGTTCCAGTTGTAACAGATTTAAGAGGTTCTTGCAAACCAACGCATTTTGTTCCTAAGTATATACCTGTATTATACAGAATTTATGAGATACTCACAGGCCCTCTCATTTTAGTATACAGTTATACAGTGTTTCCACAAAGTCCCTTCGGGGTTCTGAAAAATTGTGGCGCACAAACAAATTAAGGTAGCCACATGCAGTTTGTGGCAGATTACAGTGAAACTCTGGAAGATGGTGCTCCACCTCATTGGGGTCTGCAGGTACGCGCGTACCTAGACAGGACATTTCCAGGAAGATGGATCGGCAGAGACGGTCCAATGCCTTGGCCTCCACGTTCACCAGACATAACACCAATGCATTTTTTCCTGTGGGGTTATGTCAAGAGCAATGTGTTCCGAACACCAGTTAACGGACTTAATGACCTGAAGACCCGTATCAGGAATGCGATCTCGGCTATTCCGCGGACATGCTCCACAGAACATGGCAAGAGCTTGAATATCGTCTGGATGTTCTCCGTGCTACCAAGGGAGCCCACATCAAGGTCTACTGAGGTCAGTAAAAGCTTCCAGAGTTTCACTGTAATCTGCCACAAACCGCATGTGGCTAGCTCAATTTGTTTGCGCACCACAATTTTTCAAAACCCCGAAGGGACTTTGTGGACACACTGTACTTACAATACTTTCCTTGTCCTGCTTTTGCCACAAATTATATTTTTTGTGTACACTTTCAGAACATGGGAATCAAGATTAGATCCTTACCCCTTATGAGTTCCACATTACTGTCTGTGGACTATTTATGCCATACAGGACAAAGATGGACTAAACAAGCAGAATAATTAAGATCCTGTTTATAATTTGATGACTGTGAAGATTTTATGAAAATGTGCCATAAAGTGGCTATGATACTTGGCCGAAGTCAAACAAGCATCCATTGCTGTAAAGTGCAACATTTGGCTTCAGTCCGCATCAAGAAATGAACTTTTCCTTTTGCAGTGGCTATGAAAATGCAATTTTGTTGGTCTGCATAGTGCTTCCACCTACTTTGAAGCATTTAAAATTGTATGCAAATGTTGTTACATTGCTTGAAAAAATATTGAAAATACATTATAGTTTTACCTTACAATTGCATTATTTTAGTAAAGTGGTGAGAAAATAATTCATAGCAAAAGGGTTAATGAAAAAAGAGTCATAATTCCACTAAAAATAGTATATTCAGGGTAATAGCCTACTACTGCCATCACATAAGGATTTGTAATCGCTATTTTACTTGTTGATATTTAGGAGAAACGTGATTTAATTACTGGTTTGAAGACACGAACCAATGCAGGCCGTCCCAATTGGGACAAAGTGTTCAAGCAGCTCCTGGACCAGGAGAAGGGAAAGGTGACAGTTTTTTATTGTGGACCGCCACAGCTTGGCAGGATACTGCGGGTCAAGTGTGACCAATTTGGCTTCAGCTTCCGCAAGGAGGTCTTTTAAAGACAGATGTTTTTGACACTGCTGGCAGCTGTGTGCAGTGGTTATTCAGTTAAGATGAAGAAGAAAATCCAACAGAGGTACTTAACAGTAAGCAGTAACTGCAGAAAGAAAAGAAGGAGTGGTAATAATTATTTATTTAAAAGTACTGAGTGATTTTTGGTATTCAAGAATGGTTTTGTCAGCCGTAATGAGCCCTGAATCTTAACCCTCTATGTACTGAAAATTCCTGTTTATGCGAGGAAAAAATTAATTATATTTGTCAGGAAACCATATAAAGGAAGAAATGATGTGTAGTAGAGTAAAGAATGTTGTCATATTACTGCAAATTTTGTCTAAATTTTTTATGACATGTGAACATTCGAACTGCAAGAATGACCTGCATATCTATTTACCACTTTTTTTTTTATGTACATATGAACTATATTTCAGGGCATCAGTAAATAAAAATGTTGCTTTTTTTTTTGCAGGTTTTGCAGTTACACATCCTCACATGTGCAGTGAATAATTCAGATTATTTTCAGTAAAGATTAAGTATGTTAAAGTTCTATTTCTGCTCAGTGAATTATTTATTTTAATTTAAATACTTTTTATGTAGATTAATATAAGTGAAAGGGCCTTCACTTTCAGAAGAATGAACTTCAATACTGAAATAGGCTGTATGTGGGAAGATACAAGAATATGATCTTACCTGATAGAAGCAATCTCCTCATCTACTACAAAATCACATAATTTACTCCCTTGTTTTCAATCATTGAAATTTTAAAATTGAGGTTATGAAATATATGAATATGTCTTACAGTCAACACACGATGATATTGATACCAGACCTGACAAGAAGATGCTGTTGCTGTGGGGTGTTATTTGTTTTTAAAGGAGCTATTACAGTTTTTGGGTACTAATTGTGATTTAGAGCTGTGGAGCAGGAAACTGATAATATATATTACCAGTAGTAAGTTAGAGTCAACATGAATAAGCTGACTGGCTATAAAGAGAGATAAAATAAAGTTACACTGAAGAAATAATTCATGTTAAGTGGTTTTATTATCTTTGCTGTCACTTAAGTTTATGGTTGGTGTTAGAAGGAATAACTAGGATTGCTTTAACTCTTCAGAAGTTTAAATTAATCTTCCAGGAGATTTGATTCAGTTGAGTAAAAAATGGTAAAAGTCAATTATTAATGATTTTAAGTGTGTTTGTGATTTATTACGAAAATTGCACTTGGTATTTTGGTTCCAAGAATAACACAGTGCACAAAGACTGTCTAAACTCAATGCTAAAACATGACCAAGACCAGCTTATATATCTTGAGGGTATGACCCCGGTCGTGGGAAATAGTGGATGTACGAATAAAAATTTTACCTTGGAAGCAGTTATGAAACATTAGTCATTAAATTGTTTCTGCAAAATATATGTGTAAAAATCTGTAGAAAATAATACTTACAATGCTCTGTACATTCCAGGCACTTCATGTATTGTACAATGTGATGATGTCACTAATGTATATAAAAGTGTGAATAATGTTATGTATATTTATCTGTACTGTGTGATCAAATGTAATATTTATTATGTAATCTATAGTGAAATGTATCATTATGTAGTGTATGTGTTTTTTAATTGATATAGCATAAATGTATTATAAGGGTAATGTAAAATTTAGAAACTGATTAATTTTAACAATATGTGCTTCAAAAATTAACTAAAAGACTTTCAACTCTTGGAAATAATTCCATCTAGTGGAGGTTCTGTATGGCTATCCTCAGTGTTTAACCCTTTTAGTCCTAAAGCCTATTTCCACTGTTCTGGTCTAAAGAGTCAGGCCAATTTTCATATATTTACAGCTTAAAATGTAAACATTTACCAAAAAAGAATTTTACACACATACACATGAAAAAATCACACTTATACACTAAATAGAGTAGATTAGAATAAAAAATATCTTAAATTCTAATGCTATTCTTAACTTACAACAAATTTTAAAATATTGAAAAAACAAAATTTTATTGTCAGGATGTAAAAACATAAATTGTTTTTTATCTCCCTTCATCACTCATCCTACAAGAAAGAATATTTATTTCTGCATAATTCTATATAAGTTTGGTGTCTGTACTGTTATCTGGTCCTGAACTACAAAACTTTTTGTAAAACAATGTACACCAATATAAAATATATTAGACTGTTTTATTCGAATAATTTTTATATAAGAAATCGTATGAAGTCTTGTACTGCCATCTGGGAGCGTTATATGTAATTGAAACATAAGATTTAGTCAGGCCAGATGGATTGGATCGGCTATTTGAGTGTTTTTGTTAAAAAAAATATATTTGTTTTCCTACAGGAGTGAACTGTTGAGGAAAACGTTAAGTTAAGTCTAAGATATCTGATGCAGACTTCTATTGCCATCTGGGAGCCTTGTATGTAATTAATACATCATGAGCCAGGCACAACGTATCGGCTGCCTCGGCGGCTTATCAACCATTGCTCCAGATGGCCGGGGCATAAGGGTTATGAGAAATGTTCGTAACCACCTACAATACTCCCTTGCATCACAACTCAGAAAACCACAACTGATATTTACATTAAAATATTTAAATTTAATTTTTATTTATCGAGGCTGATATTGTAACGAGGCAACCAATAATAATCAGGGCGAGACTCTATTTGACCTTGATCTATCCTCTACCAGTGATCCAAGTTTCAACTTGATCGCTTCACTCAGTAGTAGTGCACGTGATTTTCTGTGCGGTTGCGTTTTTACGTTAGGTCGGAAGTGTTGGATTGTAAATTGGAACAACTCGTTAAACTTCAGAAATCTACGACGGAAACTTTGAAGTTATTGACAGGCTTTCAGTGAAGATTGTGTGTCTCGTGCACGTGTGTTAGAATGGAACAAACAGTTTTTGGAAGGTGGGAAAGCTTGGAAGTTGATGAGCGCCCAGGTCGTCCACGCACTTCACTTGCCGATATGTATGTATTCATGTTACTTTCTAGTATTGATTGTATAGTATTATCTAGTCGTGAGAAATTGTTACATTTCTAACCCTTTACGGTCCTGTGTCGGACTGAGTGAGCCATTTAAAAATCCGAGTTCCGGTCCGATGTTGGACTGAGTCCGCCACGTGTACGAATTTTGTACATGATCTGGAGTCAAGCTGATGCTGGCAGATAGTGTCATCATATCACTGAGGTCTTCATCTGTGCATTAGTGTTATCCAAGTTTTCCTGGTAAAACTTCGTGATCGGTATAATATTGAATATTATCTGGTGGGTTGCGGAGCAGTTGCTTGGGAAACTGATTTACAAATAATTAATTCCAATGTGTAGTTAAGTCATATTTTCTGTCGCCGAAAATATTTTATTTCACAGTTTAATTTTATCAAAGAAACTTTGCATGGCAGTGTTTGAGGGTGTATTTGACACCTACCTTCCCTAGAAGATGGATTCACATGCAGTAAGCAACTAGTGACATCTGGAAGCAAGCACTTTCCTTTTTTTTTAGTCATCTCTCAGTACAGACGTACCCAACCGGGTAAGCTCCCACGATTTTTGACAGGCATACATTTTCAACCGTAACTCACCAGTGATCATTATCCTACATTGGTGAACCATGTGACATTCCAGTGACTCAACAAACCTCATGTTCTCTGTCCCGGCCGTGGTGTTGGAAATATTATTTCATTCTGTGAAGGCTGTCTCTCCAATGAACGACGCAGTTCTGTGACCCACTGGTAGCTCTCGCGGCTGAAGTCTGTTTTCAGGTGTCTCTCATGGGATCTAGCGCGTTAATAAATTAACAGGTCGTAATCTACAGTATCTGAAAAATGAAAAAATTTAATTGGCCAACGTATGTATCAGTCAGTCTGAAAGAAGCCTTTCTTCGTATCATGCGCGATTTATTCAAGATGTGTTTTCATGCGTGGCTTCAAACACAGTCGTGTTTATTCTATACAATTTCCCGTACGATGTAGCTCCTCTTTGTGAATAAAGAACCGGGTCTTAAAAGGAGATGTAAACAGACTGAACTACATCTGAAGGTGAATTATTTTCGTTTTGATGTTTTTTTATGAATGTGGTGAGCGTTTGTGAGCTCTGGTGCGTTATTTTCTCCTCTCATACATACGTTCTTACGTCCCGCTGATCCAGATTTCACTATGTTATTGCCAACGGTAGGCGCAACTGGATGTTCAAAAATAATGTTCTCTTGCCGTCGTACAAGCGCTTCTGTCTATTAAAGTTGGAGGCGTACGTATCTATATGGAGGTAGTTAAGAGAAAGTCATAATTTTGCCAGTTTTTTTATATGAGTGAATATATTTGTTTAATATTATCTTACCATCTACAGCTCAGATTTTTAAAAATGTTCCTTCACTGCCGTTTTATCAGAATTGCGTGCATTTATTTTATTCACAACACTCGTTTCATACCCTGTAATTTGTTACAACCTTAATTTACTTTTCCGTGGGTTTTAATACATAATATGAATTATCAAACATCAAAATCGCTCACACTGTTATGTTTTATGTTAAAATAATCTTCTCAGCTCATCAGACACCATGAATTTCTTCATCGTTCTTATACTTTAAGATCAAATGTTTGGGTTCTAATATTTTCTTCAGCACTTTGTTTTTGAAGACTTTAATTTGTGTTGTGCTTTCAAAGTAAAGACTGTGTTTCACACGAGACAAAATGTGCAATCGATCTGAGCTGACTGCTTCAGGGTAGGTCTAAGTGAAGGAACTTTTTTAGGCCCTATAAAACCAAGTAGTTTCTTATTCCTATTCTATTTAGATGGATATACGTCTACTTGCCAACTCAAATACTACGTCAGAGAAGAGTTTTGTAATGGTCACGTGTGTATAGGCCTGTATGTATTTTTATGTCGTTAACTTGTTCAACTTGAACGTCTGAAATATATTTAAGATGCTTTATTCCAAAAAAGTTACCTCAAAGAGATGTATTCTGAAACTACTTCTGTAGAAAGATTTTATATTTGAGAGGAGGGGCATGTGAGCGTATGACATCTTTAGGGAAGTTTGAAAGACGTGGTTTCCTGTTACACGGAGACAGGCTTTCCAAACGTATTCAATAAAGCCAAAGGAAATAGACCCTGATCCCCATAAAACTTGCTCGTTATTTCTTACACCAGAATAAAAATAATATGAAGTAAAGCGACAAAGCTGCGTCGTAAAACATGTTTGTTTGAAATTTAGTTAAAAAGCAGAGGAAAAAGTAATGGAGAATATGTTCTTAATTAAACCACGCAATAAAGAATCGGGCTTGGGATGAGACTGGGCACTATATTAGGTGTGCGGTCAAATCCACGCTCCGGCTGATTTACCCATCCGGAAAATGCCCTAAAATATGCAGCGGCCATGAATAATCGGGTTCCATGAAAGACGGAAAAATTTGCGTCCATCCGAGCGACCATCAGCTTCTCAAAGAGGACTTTGCTGAGTGGAGATAGGTCTTTTCCTGTGTCTACTACGGATTTCTGAAAGGCGTAAAAATTTTACCAACGTGTAAAAGGGCGTAGCCTACGACAGAACTCCACAGTGGAGGGCCTGTGATCACTAGAATGATTGGTGCTGACATACGTCCATGATCTAGACAAGAGGTTCCGCGATCTTCAGTCAGGTGAATTTAAAAATTACGTAATAAAATTAATATGAACCAAAAACAAGTAGTATAGAAGAGCGAAGGTAGTTTCGAAATAAATGCAGTATAAACCCTTTGTTATCATATTCATTACCGACAATCCTGCATAGTTTTCCGGAGGTCCCGAGTTCATCTCTGGACCCGAAGATTGGCTATCCTGCTATTTTCGTCAGTCCCTCTAGGCAAGTGTCGAGATAATTCCTTCAGTTATGCCACGACCGCTTTCTTTCACATCCTTTCCAATTCAACATCCGTTAATCATGCTACTTTCGACTGGCAGCGTCGTTAAATAAACCAAGAATAAATATTCATCTTTAGCATCTGTAGCATAACGCACTGCAATTGTAAATCAACAGGCAGATAAATAAGTAAATGGTCCGCGAAGACTCTCAGCATTTATGGAAACATTGCCCAAGGTGGAATTGTTAAATCTAAAATCGTGGCTACTTTGCGGCCGACGTGCATGTGCTTTCGACACATTCCAGTGCTTCTTCCTGACTGGCGTACCAAATTCGGTTGCTGCGTTCCTTTAATATTATCATCTTTTATTTTAGACATCGAGGATAGACGGCAGATTCCAGTTTGGAATAATAGCAAGTTCAACTTCGATATCCACTAACAAGACAACGACTTTCTTAAAGCCTGCAGAAAACTCATTTAAATTATGTCACCAATACGATAATTCGATTAATATTCCTGAAAGAAAGAGGCACAATTTTAAGTAAATTGATTAACAGAAAGCGTGCGGTTGTTTTCATTTGTAATGTAAACAGTGGGTTAAATGTTTACTATTTTTTTGCTTCCCTTGATTGATTTTATTTCTGATGTTCATTTTGCACTAAACTGATAATTATATCAAAAATAATGTCTCATTAAGTGATTTTAATGTTATGATGCTTTTGCATGTTTTCATTTCGTAGTCAGCACAATTCTCAAATTAAAACGCAGCCATAGCAACCACACAGCACTTCAATCAGATGCGATATAAATTGCA